ATCATCGAAGGCTGCATCCGCATGGACAAGAACGAGAGGTGGGGGCAGAGCGGGGCCGGGGTGGCAGGGTCCCCCTGGCCCTGAGCCCACGCTGAGCTGTGCCCTCTGCAGGTACACCATCCAGGACCTGCTGGAGCATTCCTTCTTCCAGGAGGACACAGGGGTGCATGTGGAGCTGGCTGAGGAGGATGATGGAGTCAAGTCTGGGCTCAAGCTCTGGCTGCGCATGGACGACTCGAAGAAGCTGCACGGCAAATACAAGGACAACAACGCCATCGAGTTCCTCTTTGAGCTCTACAAGGATGTCGCAGAGGAGGTGGCTCAGGAGATGGTGGGTACAGAGGTGGGGGAGCCCTGGGTGCTGGGGGGTCCCTACACCCCGAAGTGACAAGCTCTGTCTTGTGCAGGTGGTCCTGGGCTTTGTCTGTGAGGCCGACTACAAGCTGGTGGCCAAGGCTGTGCGGGACCGTGTGGTCGCCATCAAGCGCAAGCGGGAGAAGCTGAAGCGTGCCCAGGGCGCTCCATCACCCGCGGAGCCAGAGCAGCCCCCGGGCGTCCTGCGGCTGCTGGAGGAGCTCAAGTCCCCGCTGCCACCTGGTGCCCCCACGCCTGCCCTGGCCACGCCTGGCTCTGGGGACTCTGCCTTCAGCAGCACATTCCCCCTGGAGCCTGAGGAGCCCGAGGCTGACCAGCACCAGCACTTTACCTACCGGCACACCAGCTACTCCTCAGCCACCTGTGCGTAGGCACCAAGGGGCAACAGCTGGGTGGGCAGCAGGGGAGCTGGTGGGAAGCACAAGGGGGGGTCTGTCAGCTTCTCCCAGCCCTACTGCCCTTCCCCAGCTGCCCAGCCAGGGAAGGGACTGGCTTTGGTTCACGCCAGTTCTCCTCCACAGCCGACTGTGAGACTGATGGGTACCTGAGCTCCTCTGGCTTCCTGGACTCCCCGGACCTGGCCCACCGCAGCTTTGTGGCAGTGGACCCCACCAGCCCGCCCCCCACCCGGCCCGTGCGCTGCTTCCCCACGGTGAGCACGGCCCCACGGTGGGGAGGGGGCTCAGGGCAGCTGTGGCAGCAGCTCACCCCCTCCTCTCCCTGCAGAGCATCGCCGTGCAGCTCCCCACAGAGCATTTGCCCCCTGCCAGTGGCTTCTCCTCCTCGGTGGACAGGTGAGGCTGGGGGGTCGGGCAGGGAGCGTGGTGCTTGGCAATGGCCATGCTGATGCTCTGGAGCTGGGGCTTCCTGCAGCTACACCTCGGATGTGGCATCGGGCATGAGTGATGGCTACGAGGGGCTGTCAGCCAGCGAGCAGAGCACCAAGCTGCCGCCCAAGAGAGCCTCGGGGAAGCTGCTGCGGCGCCGAGCCCGGTCCAGGCTGCGCATCACCAACGTGAGTGCCACAGGGGCCAGGCAGGGGCCAGGAAGGTGCCAGGCAGGGGCCAGGAGGGTTCTCCTGGGCTGAGCCAGCTCTGCCGCCCACAGATCTCCGACAAGAACGACCGAGTGGTGGAGTGCCAGCTGCAGACCTACAACAACAAGATGGTGACCTTCAAGTTCGACCTGGATGGGGACAACCCAGAGGAAATTGCAGCTGCCATGGTGAGAGCAGGGGGAGGGTGAAGGTGGGGTCTGCCTGGCTGGGCTGGGCACTGACTGACCCCTCCACCCTCAGGTCCACAATGAGTTCATCCTCAAGTCAGAGAGGGAGAGTTTCATCAACCGTATCCGGGACATCATCCACCGTGTGGAGACCCTGCTCCGCAAGGACAGCCGCAGTGGCACCGAGCTGCCCAAGGGCCCCGAGGCTGACAGTGCTCTGGGCAGCCCTGTGAGTGCCAGCCTGGCCCTGCCAGCGCTGGGGAAGCTGCTGCTGCTGCTGCTGAGCATGGCTTGGGATGCTGCCTGGCCCCAGGGAGTGCAGGGTGGGGGCTGGGGTGCAGGGTCTTCCTGTGGTCGCTTGCCTGCTCCTGTGACAAGTCAAGGTGCTCACCAGCACAGAAGAGACTCCAGCTCCTGTCCCCACAGGTGGTGGGGCCAGGGTAGGGCCCAGTGGGGGCTTGGCACAGCCTGGCTGGGGCCTCTGCCCCAGTGCTGGGCTCAGCTCACCCTTCTCGCAGGTGGACCTGCAGCTGCAGGGGCTCTCGCGCTCCATCTCCTCCTCATCCTCACTCAGTGGTAAGTCTGTGTCCCTCTGCGGGCCCTTCCCGTCTCCCCAAGCCTTGTGCAGGGCAGGTGATGGCCTCAGCCAAGTCCTGAGTGTCTCAAAGGACATGTCCTGCCCTGGCTGAGCCTGGCTGTCACCCCTGTGCCACAGACCTGAGCTGCACCAGTCCCAGCCTGTCTGTCCAGTCCCCCGTGCTGCCGCTGCTGAGCCGCTCCCCATCAGAGACCAACCTGGCCAGTCCCACGGAGCCCCCGGCAGCCCCGGGGCCACTCGGGTCCCCCACAGGTACCAGTGCTGGCAGGCTGGGCGTGTTCATTGCCCTGGGGCTGCCAGCTGCTCCCCTGGGCAGGGGCAGGAGGTGGCCCTGGGGTCTGCTCCTGATGCTTCTCTCCCTGCAGGCTCAGCGCAGACCTGGCCCCTCGTCTCGATGACTCCCTCCTGGCTCACGTTGTCACCAGCACTGACACCAACGCTGACTCCCCAGGGGACCCCAGGGGGGCCTGTCCCCCCAGCCCTGCCCCAAGCCCTCCTGTCCCCCCAGCCTGTCCCCACATCCCCTGTTCCCCGTGAGCCCAGCAGCCCTCTGAGCCCTGCTGTGAGCAGCACACCCTTGTCCCCCACTACCCCCCTCTTGTCCCTGGCCAATGTGTTCTCCCTGGCAGTGATGACTGTGGCCCACACTGTCTCCTCCATTGCCAGCTCAGGTGGGCACCTCTACCCACCACTGCTGCCACGGCCACAGAGTCTTGCCCTGGGTGCCCCACGCTTTGTCTACCCCAACCCCACCAGCACAGACAAGTCAGTCCCACCTGGCAGTGGGATCCCAGAGTCAGTGGGAGCTGCTGTCCCCACTGCTGGGGTGCCCATATCCTCCCTTCCCTTGGCACCAGCCCCAACGTGCCCCCCGGGCAGCGAGGCTGTGGGGAGCCCTCTGCAGCTGCTGAGCCCATCCACATCTGGGAGTGCAGAGGGCAGCACGGTGAGTGTGGGTGTACAAGGGTTGCCCAGGGCTGCTCCAGGTGGAGCTCAGTGTCAGCAGGGCTGGGTGGCTGCTGCGGATGCTGCACTGGGATGGGATGGAGCCTCATGGCTTGTGGAGCCACTGGGATGCAGCGGGTGGCAGATCCCAGGGCACGGAGGGGAGGACAGGAGATGTGGCAGGACCTGGGGTGGGGCTGCTGATGTGCTCAGGTGCCCACAGGTGCTGCCCGGTGCCCCCAAGCCCAGCCACTCTCTGATCATCTCGGAGGCACCAGCCCCCAGCGCGCCCAAGGCGCAGCTCTCGCCCATCAATGAAGGTAAGCGGGGCAGGGCCGAGGCTGTGCCCGGCCAGCCCCTGTGCCCCGAGCCCACCAGCTGCCCCTGTCCCCCGCAGAAGCCAAGCCCCAGGTCCTGGGCCGGTTCCAGGTGGTCCCAGCCAGGGACCTGGCCGTGAGCTCCGCGGTGCTGGGCAGCAGTGACGGGGAGCAGCACGGCCCGGAGCCGGCAGCGAGCGGCTCCCCGCCTCCCGCGGTGCCCGACACCAGCCACAGCTCGAGCAGCGACTCGGATGTGGCGGCGGAGGCAGCGGAGCGAGGCCCCAAGGCTGAGGAGCTGCCAGCCGAGGGGGGCACCGCTCCTGCTGCGCCGGCGGGGAGCGACCCAGGGGAGGGCCCTGGGGAAGAGAGCACAGAGAACGTGCCGCAGGCCATGCTGAGCCAGGTGTGGCTGAGCTACTCCCGCAGCTTGTCCTACGTGAGCAGCGATGACACCGAGAGCGAGGACGAGGAGATCTGGGAGGAGCTGCAGAACCTGCGCCAGAAGTGAGCCGGGGCTGGGCTGCACCTGGGAGGCGACCCGCGCTCCCAGCCAGCCCGGGGGGGAGCTCGCTGTCCCTTCCCCAGGCCCCGCTGCCAGCCCCTGTCCTCTCCCCAGGCACCTGGCGGAGGTGCAGCTGCTGCAGAGCGCCCAGAAGAAGGAGATCGAGGAGCTGTACCTGCGCATGGGGAAGCAGCCGCCGCTGGGCATCGTCTCGCCCGCTGCCATGCTGTCGGGCCGCCAGCGCCGCCTCTCCAAGGGCAGCTTCAACCCGTCCCGCCGCAACAGCCTGCAGCGCCTGGAGCTGGCACCGCCCGCAGGTGCCGCCGCGCTCCATCCCCGGTGGGCACGGGGCTGCTCGGCCCGGCCGTGCCCTCACTCGCGCTGTCCCCGCAGGCATCATGCGCCGTAACTCGCTGAGCGGCAGCAGCACCGGCTCGCAGGAGCAGCGGCTCAACAAGGGCGTGACCTTCGCCGACGAGCTCGGGCGCATGGTAAGGGCAGGGCGGGATCCCACGGCGCTCCCGGCCGAGCCCGCGGCGCTCGGTTCACGGCTGCTTCTCTCCCCAGTAGCTGGCTGGCCAAGAATGACCCCGTGAACTACCTCATCCAAGTGCCTGCTGCCCCGGGGCGGGCAGAGCCAGCCCGGCAGAGCCCGTGCTCCCAGCCACAGCTGTGTGCCCGCTGTCCCCAGCCCCTCAGCTGGAGGACACGGGCGAGGTGTCTCCGTCCTGGGGGGCTGGAAGGAGCTGAGCCCGCCCCGAGGATCCCCGGCTTGTCCCAGCCCAGCCCCGGAGCCCGCCCGCCCTGCGGCCCTGCCGGCTGCAGCATCGCGATCCGGGAGCACTTTGATATGAACTGGCGTTGGAAAAGCGTTTTCATAAACACGGATTGAATACAAACTGTGTCTGCTGCGTGTCTGCGGGGCAGGACGCGCGGCTGCTTGCCTGGCTGTGTGAGGAGAAAGAGCAAAGCAGAAAATCCCCCCTCAACCGCCCCTGAGCCGGGCTCAGCTCAAGAGATCCGTGACAACGGGCGCTGAGGCGTTCTCCAGTGAGGGATTTATTGTGGGGAGTGCTGGCACCGGGGCGCCCCTGTCCTTCCCGCGGGCACGGCCCCGGGCCGGGCTCTGCCTGCCTGCGGGGAGCCCCCGGGGCCTTCTCCCGGCCCAAGCAGAGCACGAGGCAGGCCAGAGCCCCTCAGGCGCATCTGCCTCGAGGCCCGTCCTGCCTGGCGCGGGCGGCAGCTCAGTCCCGGGCCGAGCCGGGCCGGGCCGGGCCGGGTTCTCCCCGCTCAGCTTGCGGCGCCCTCGGCCCGCGCCCGAGCCCGCGCCCGCGCCGCCTCCGCCTCCTGCTCCAGCTCGTCCAGGAACCGCTCCTGCGACACCGAGTAGAAGGTGTAACCGTCTGCGGGGGGAGTTAAGGAAAAGGAGCGGGCGCGGCCCCGGAGCCCCCCGGCCCCTCGGTTCCCCGGCCCCGGAGGATACAGATGCCAAATGTCACGGCGCCGATGCCGAGCGCCAGCAGCACGTTGCGGCTGCGGAGCCGGCGCTGCAGGGCGCGCTGGCGCTGGACGTGCTCCACCTGCGCCATGAGGCGGCGCTGCTCGGGGCTGAGCCCCGGCTCCCGGGCCGGGTCGATGCGCCGCGCGAACGCCGCCTCCCCTGGTTCTCCCGGCGCCGCCATCTTTCCCCGCTGTCCCCGCGCGGCGACGTGACGCCACATCCGGCGGGGGCGCGCTGGCCAATCGGAGGGCCCGAACGGCGCGCGGTTGGTGCCGGTCGCGGCATCGGCGCTTGATGATTGGCGGAGCGGTGTCACGTGACGGAGGAACGGGGCCGGGGCCTGAACCGGGCCGGGGCCTGCCCAAAGCCCGGCCCGGCCCCGCAGCCGAGCACCGTGGGCCCCGAGCGCCCGGCCCGTCCCGGTGCCGCCTCCGAGCGGCCGGGAGGAGGCGGCGGAGCCGCGTCCCGCTCTGTGCCGTGGCGCTGGTGAAGTCGCTGTCATTGCGGCTGCGGGCCTGCCCCGCTCCATGGGGTCTCAGGTGCCCGTGCCAGGCCGCGGCCGTGACTCAGGCCCCGTGTTCAGCGGCGTCGCTGCTGAGGTCATCGAGGACACCCTGATGCACCTGGCCACGGAGAACGAGCAGTACCTGAGCGAGCTGCCAGAGCAGGCTGGGCTCTTCAAAGAGACACGGATCGTGGGTGAGAGTCAGCCACAGCAGCTCCCGGGGCAGGGGCGGCTCTGCGCTGAGCTCCAGGAGCCCGCAATGAGCGCCTGCTGTGCTTTTTGCAGAATTCATATTCCTTTTGTCTGAAAAATGGCACTTGGACCAGTCCACACGGTACCAGGCAGTGGAGTTGCTTGAACGGTAATAAAGAGTCCTCAACACTCAGCACATTTACCATTCCCTGCTGGGGTTTTATTGCCCAGCCCTGGCCCACTCTGTCCCAAAACCACACATGATTAATGTGCTCTGTCTCCTCTGTAATTTAATCCAAATTATCAACATATACTCCTATACATATATATATACATACATATATTAAAATATATATGTATATATAGTATAGATATGTATAAATAGTATATATACATATAAAACATATGTATGTATAGTATATATAGTAATATATATGTGTGTATATATATTTTTCATGTATAGTACATAAAATATATATGTATATATAGTACATATACTATATATAGTATATGTATATATATAGTAATCCAAATTATTACTTCTACATATACATATGTATACACATATAAATATATATATGTATATAAAATATATTTGTATATATACATATATATATTATATATACACATCTACACATATATACACACACATATATATATATACACACATATATATATAATATGTACATGTATGTGGAATTGCCTTTGTTCCTTTTTGTGGGCAGCCAGAACCATCCTCTGAGCAACTGTGGCTTTTGTAGGTTCATGATCAAGCAGGTAGAACAGATGTGTGATGGCAGAGGGAGCACCAAAGGTCGTGAGCAAGGCCAGAGGAGCAGCTGGAGCTCTGTGAGGGATCACATCACCAACACCTTTGTCCTGAGACTCGTGTCCTGTGTTCAGCTTGCCAGCAAACTCTCTCTGCACTACAGTGTAAGCCAGCTCAGCCTGTCCTTGCTCTAGCAGCGTGGTTAAATCAGCAGTGTATTAATCTCTCTTAAAAATAGATTTCCTTTTTGGAAGACAGTAGTGATAATGAGATGCCAAGGACACCACATTCCCTTTAGGGTAGGTAAATTGCTGCTCATCCAGTAACAATTTGCTGGGAAGTGTTCCCAGTTCTGAGGGGATAAAAAAGGGCAGGAACATCTCAAAAATGGTGTGTCCACAGGGTTCACACCTGCCTGGGATGGTTTGTTGAGCTGACACCTGTGGGCAAGGTCAGAGCTGGATTTCCCATGCCAGCTCAAAGGACTCGTGCTCAGCAGGAGCAGAGGTGACAGAGCACTTCGTTCCTGCCTTACTGCCTGGAAGACCTTTTGTCTCTTTTTTTCTTCTTCAGAGAGTGACCAGTGACACAGCTTTAACATTTCTGCAATCCTTAAAATACTCCTACACTAAACAGGAATTGCTGGAGTCGGAGCTTGCTGTTTTAAACACTCTGCACTTCCACATCAATGTGTCAACTCCCTTGGCCTATGTGGAATTGCTCCTGGAGGTTCTAGGTGAGAGTATCAGTCAGGGAGAATGGGAAGGAAGTTTTTCAGTAGGGTCACAGAGCTGTTGCTGGTCTGAAATGTCTCATATTACAGATTTTTGCATGTGGAACTGTTCAGATTGTCCAGAGCTTCACTTTCCAGAGGAGAACTTTGTCCTTTGTAGAATGTTGTTGGACAGCCAGTCATGACTCGTTCAGTAAAAGATTAAGAGTTTAAAGCCCCCAAATGTGGTGCCAGGCCACATTTTCCACAATCAGTCACCATTTTCTTGGATCAGTTCTGACAGCCTGAATTTCAGAGTGAAATTACATTGAGGCTGAGGGATCCTGTGGCATTCAGACAGGGCAGTTGTCCTCAGAACTCCCTCTCCCTTACGGTACCCGAGACTCCTAATTCAATGTAGTGACCCAAAATGTGGCACTGATGGTGTGATCTCTGCCAGGATACAATGGCTGCTTGCTTCCTGCCAAGCCCTTACACCAGCTGTGTGTGCAGCTGCTGGACTTCTGCTACCTGACCAGAGAGACCATCTATGACACTCTGCTGAAGACTGCCATCGAGAACTCCACACCAAGCAAACTGCAGATGTAAGACCTGACAATGACTTAAAATAACCCTTTGAAATGAAAACCCTTGGAAAACTAATAATAATAAACCCATTTGAAATTAAAACCCTTGGAAAAGCTAATAAATAGCAGCACAACTCTCATTATGCCATTCTGGGGGCATGTTTCAAAAAATAATTTTTGAGGGGCATTCATCATTGTTTCTCAGTGTACCAGTTCAAAGCAACATGCTTTTCCACAGCTGCTTCAAGGCAAGGAAGGTGTTTGATTTGGTTAAAATCCAGCCTTGCACTGTCAGTTCCAGCTTCTGGTGATGGGTTTTGGCTGGCCTGAATAAACCAACATGTCCTGGGCACTGGCATGCAGCAGCAGGTGGCTTTTGAACTGTGAAGCAGCATTTTACAGCTGAACACACTTTTCCTCCTGCAGAGCCAAGTTTTTAACAGTGAAGGAAGATTTCATGCTGCTGGCTGTTGGAGTCATCAGTACAGGTGTGTTCATCCTGAGCCCCGGGCACTGGGAGCAGGTACAGTCACTGCTGAAGGCGTTGGAACACAGTGCCAAGGTGGTTTATCTGCTCCAGCACAAGTGGGGCTGCACTGGGATGGGCACCTCTGTCTTTTAGCACAAAGCATGTGGGTTTTGTCAGAGCTGAGGGCATGGGGCAGTTCTGTGTGCCACATCTGTTGTGTTACTTTTTGAGTTAGCTCAAAGAGAAACTCATTACACTTGAGATAGCTTAGGTACTTTGAACAGTATAAAATTAGTAGGATGGCTTTTGAGGTAGTGTTGGAAATAGAAAAAGGTTTAATAAAAGGCAAAATAACAAAGCTCTTACAGAGAAAAACTGAGTTAGGGCTAAGAGGTTCTTGCTCCTGCTAAAACACCCCACAAAAGGGATTATTTCCTTTGTTCTCTTCCTTTTCTACTGAATTACCTAGACAGGACTCTTGGCCTCTGTCTAGTTGGACAGCCCCAGGTCTGAGGTGAAGTCCCAAAGATCCTATGAGGTGTCTTTTGTACCAAATTGTGAGAGAAACTTCTGGGCTTTTTGCCTTTTTAAGCAAAGAATAATTTAGCCACTCCATCAACAGGGGGCACATTCCTACAAGTGTCCTCCCCTTTAGTGCTTCCCAGCCAGAACAAAGCCCCACAGGCAATGTTTCACTGGCAGGTAGAGCAGCAACCTCATGGAGCAGTTACTCTTGTCAGTCTGTAAACTCACAGCCTTTAGGTGTTCTTTTATTTTCTCCAGGTTGTGGAGCATTTGAACTGCATCACTGGCATTACTCCCCAGAGCATCCTGGAGTTCTCCTACGCCGTGGTGAGGCGCATCGTTGGCAGCACCACACCTGAGCAGCACCGTGGCAACTGTGGCACCAGATCTCCTGAGGACAGAATTCCTCCTCAGAAATAGAACCACCCTGGCCATCCAGGCAGCAGCAGCAGGAATTGTCACACTGCTGGGAACTGTCCCTCCTCTGTGACACTGCCCAGGCACCCAGCACAGCTCAGCGTTACCTGAATTCTGTCACATCTTAATTAGCAAAGCTCGTCCTGCCAGGTATCACAGTCATGCTCTGAAAGGAGCCCAACAGCACCACAGTGTTTAGAAATGCCCTAAAAGCTTTACTGTAACAGCTGCATTTTTAAATTTTGAATCTAAGCTCCCTTTAACCAGAGACCCCTCAGGGTGGTTGTGTTTGGAAGGTGCTGCCATGCCTGGTGGGACCAGCTCTCACAAATGGGGCTGCTCTGTCTCCTGCTGCTTTTATAAAACCCCTGTCCCAGCTGCCTGTGACTGTCACCACAGCAGTGCCCAGCCTGGGTGTCCCTGCCAGTGCCAGGGGTTTGTGCTGTGCCAGGCACTGCTGGAAACACCTGGAATAATTTCATTGTTTCCTCAGCACAGCCCTGTGCAGGAACAGGCTGCAGGAGGGACTGCAGTGCTGTAATGGTATCAAACTTTGCTAAGTGCAGCAGCACAAAGAAGTGCTGATATGACTTAGGAAATATTTTATTTTAAACTCTTTAATGACCAGGCAGAGTTCTGGCAGTTTTCCCACATTATTTCCTGTGTTTGTAATGTCCTGCTTTTCCAACCTTGCATTAGCTGTAACAGAGCAGCATCAAACTGATGCTCATTTGACAATGATTTATGTGCATGGCCATAAACCCCAAAAATAACAGTTTAGAATCCATTTAATAGCTGGGTTTTATTCTATTCAGCTCAATGATACAACTTTGCATATTGCTTTTCTATTAACTACTTGTAATAATGGCATTTTAAAATAAAGTGTCTTGTGGATTTTTGGTATTGTAAACATTTTGTACTGGTTAATAGTAAGAGACATCTGAATTTGCCTTTCTCCAACACAAAGCAGACACTCCACAGCTGCCAGGCCAAGTTCTGATCACAGTTACTTGTTATAGAATTGGGATGAGACCCAGGCCAGGCCCCATTTCAGGTTAGTTAACATGAATTTTAGTGCTTTTGTCCACTGCTCTTCAGAGTTAAATTGTGTTTTAATTGAATAAGAGCCACCACTGCCACCTGTGTCTTCGATCTTTCCTTTCTCCACGTCCATCCTGTATCACACACAAGCTTTAATTAGTGTATTCCCACTGCAAACATTTAATCTCAGTATGACACCAAGCACTACATTTTAAATCTGACAATAACACTATCCTGTTTTTAAAGGGACTTGAGCAAGCCTCAGGACTCCACCCAAGGGGCTGGCTTTAAGTTTCATTCTAACTAGCAAACACATCATTAAGAATTCCAGATGATTTCTGAAAAATCAGGGCTGAAACAGCAAGCAGTGCTAGGGGAGCATACAGGGCTGAATTTGACAGTTTTGTGGCAACACTCACCTGTAAGGCAAACAAAACCGAGTTTCACCTTTCTCCACTTCCTCTTTGAACTGCTGCACACAGTCCAGGAATGCCACCATGGCATGATCAAACTTATTGTCCCAGAAGAACCTCAACCCTCCAGAGCAGTACAGGGGAAGCTCCTGGAAAAGAGATTTGTATCAGGAACACCAAACATTGTTTCTGATATGTCACTGCAGCTTTTTAACCTCATGTGAAGCTTAAACTTCTCATGGGGTGCTGAGAAATGGCTTGTGGCACAGGGCAAGTGTGACTGGTTTTGTGCAAGTGCCTGCCATGTACAGGCATATGTTCCTGACTTCCACCAACCCCAAATCATGCCATCTACCTGCCAATCACCCCAAAGCATGCCTCTGCCTCTGGCCATTCAACAGCTCTGTCAGTTATAACACTGCTGGCTGGCAGCACCAGTGGCTTCATACAGGATGTGAGATGTCACCATGCTGGAGGAGCAGGGGCAGCCAGCTTTGCTGGATTCCACACCCACAGAGACCCAGCTTTGCTTCCTGCACCCCCAGTGTGACCAGGGCTCTGGCACTCAAGATCAATGTCCCATGACTTGTATGGGATCCCTTACCTTGGATTTGTCTGTGAGAGACTCCAAATAGGAGTGGTTGCCATAGGGGACAAGGCGGTACCTGAAAAAAGGAGACAGAATTCACAGGCACCCGAGTCTGCCTCTTCCTCTGGGCCATAAATGACCTGTGTGTGCTATTCGGGTACCTCTGAAACTTCAGGCCCATTTTGTTGGCCAGGGCATGCAGCAGCAGCACAGTCTGCCCCCAGGCAGCGTTGATCTCATTCCATTCCACAGGAACGCTGGGGAGGCGGCCAAGCCTGAAGTTATTTATTGTGCCAAACTGCCCACTGTGCCTGTGATAAGAAAAATTATAAATAAATGTGCTAGGCTGGGAAAAGCTCCTGGCCTGATAACCAAATAGGGGCTGTGTCCCAGCAGCACAGCACACACAGTGCCAGCCAGGCAAAAGGATGGTTTGGGGCTGTTCTTAACAAGTGCATGTAAACACCAAACACTTGTTCTCTTTTTGTCATAAAAACACAACAAAAACCCCCAGCCAGCCTCTCCAAGCTGCCTGCTCTGTGAACCCTAATGCCAGTGTCACTGCTGGCTGGCACAGGGGGTCCCAAAGTGTTACTGGGACTGGTGAAGGAGCCATTTCCCAGTCCCACAGCCTGGCACACCTTACTCAGCTGCCATGCCTGGGACATGGCATTCACTGCTTTGCTGGGAGGTAACTGTGAGCTGGCCTGCACCTTCCCTGTCAAATGCAGTGACTTAAACAGCTTCACACTCCAGATTCCAAGAAAATGGATGTAATATTCCAGTGTCTACGTTACCAGATGTGAAAGGTAGCGTTGAACACGTTGGTTTTCTTTAGTTTATCCAACTGCATCTGGGCATAGCGCATTTGGTTGTCCACACTTTTCAGCTCATCATCCAGCTCCAGCTGCTGCCTCTTGAACTCACAGTATTCCTTCTGATACCTTTGAGCAGAAACAAGACAAGAAGTGCTGAGTGCTGGCTCCTACCTCAGAGTGACAGCTCTGCAGGCCAGTTTGGTCCTGCCACCTTTCCTTCTGCACAGAGCGAGCCACTGGCACTTGGGCACATTCACAGGTTTCTCATGTTACCATTTACATGTTTCTCATTAATTTTTTCCCTCCAAGCCCTGCCCCAAGCTGCAGGAGCAGCTCACTCACTGAGCCTCCTCCTGCTCCAGCCGCTCAGCCTCTGCCCTGACTTTCTCGAAGTCCTCAGCCACAATCTTGCGGTTCTTCTCCACATCCTCCAGCTCCTGAATCAGCTGCTCTTCCTCCAGCGCCAGTTCCTTCAGCTCTGCCTGCAGCTTCTCTTTATCATCCTCATTCATCTGCTCCAGTATCTCCAGGCATCTCCTAGAGAATAACAGGATTACCAGAACAGGTATGCTGGGAGTCCTGCACTGCCAGCCCCTGTCAATCCTGAGCTCCCCACACTGACTGTGCCTCAAGCTCTGCCACCTCTGCATCACTCACTTGTAGTTCTGGCACTCGTTCTCTGTGATGTTGAGCTGTGTGTCCAGCTGGTCCAGCAGAGTGTCTGTGCACTCCTCACACAGAGGGTGATCCACATCTGTCTGCCCAGACATGATGTCAAAGAGGTCCCCAGTGACCTGGAGGAAGGGCTCACATTACTGCAATTGAAACCACAGGCAGCTGCCTGCTGCTTTTCAGCAGCTTCAGTTAGCAGGAATCTTCTTTGCAGGCCAAATATTGATTAAAATCATTTATCTCTGCTCAACTACTCACCAACCAAGCCCCTGGAAGGCAAATGCTATGGCAAACTTTGCAGTTTAGTTTTGCAGAGCATCAGGAAAAGTGATGCTCCACTCCCCAGGATCTGAGTTTGCCCACTTGCCTTCAGTCTCCTGCTGAGGTTCTCCATGGTGCCACCATCCGAGGCCTCTCCGATCAGCGTGAAACTGTTGGCACTTTCTGTTGACATCATTCTTGGAAAGAATGTGACTGATATGAGCGCTAAGTGCTGAGGGGAGGCAGCTCCAGCGCCAGACCAGAATCTGGGGCTGACTCAGAGAAAAGGGAGAGCAGGAGGCAGGGGTAACCCGTGTTTTGGGGGCTCTGTCAGGTTTGCTGACCCACAGGACAGTGCAGTTCTGTGCTCAGACTGACAAGGGGCCCGGGGGATCCTGCAGGGGAAGGTGACAGGAGCTATCCAGTGTCACCCACCGGCGGGGGGACATTTCTGAGGCGCTGCCCCAGCGCAGGCTCAAGCTGCCCGCAGGGAGAGGCCAGGCTCCCCGCGGGGCCGGGCCTGACGGGACTGCGGCGGCGGCTGTACCTGGCTGGCGGGATGAACCTCCTGGACACGCCATCCTGCCGGTTCTCCACGAAGGCTTCCTGGAGGCACGGAAACACCGTTACGGGCAGGCCCGGGGGAGCTGCCGCCGAGCCCCGCCGCCGAGCCCGCCCGTACCTCCGTCAGGGCGCTCTCCTCTTCGTGCAGATCCCCGGGCCTGGCCGGGGCGGCGGTCACCAGCGGGGCTGTGGGAGAGACGGCGTCAGCCGGGCCCAGGCCTAGGCCCGAGCCGCGGCCCCCCACCCCAGCCCGCGTCGCTCGGTACCGGTGAGCTCCTGGATGGTGAGGCGGTCGAGGACCTTGAAGGAGGTGTCGAGCTTGAGCGGCTGGCAGCAGCGCTGGCACACGAAGCTGACGTGCGCGGTGCCTCCGCCGCCGCCCGCCCGCGCTGCCTCCATCGCGCCGCCCGCGCGCGCCCCGCCATCGCCGCGCGCCGGACGTGACGCAGGCGAGGCGGGGCGCGGTCCTGGCAGGGCCCCCGCC